GCGTGTAAACAGAAGAATAAGCAGCTGGAACTTCGACTTGCTCAACAATTGATAATCTTTACACCTACTGCTAAACAATATGAGTAGTGTAGTCGATTCAAATGCCCAACTGATTTAATATCGGCAGCTTAAAAGTCTACTCACTTTAAACATAAGTAGTGTAGTCGATTGTTATGCTAAAAACAGTTTGGTATCAACAGTTTCGATGCCGACTTAATTCCACCTATAAATAATGTTGACGAGTGAATTGCGCAAAATCTCATTAGTAGTGGCAGTTTCAAAAACGAATTTATCTGAACAAAAGTAGCTTAGTCGATTGAAATGTTAAAAATTGCTTTATATCGGCAGTTGTAGTGCCTACTCACTTTAAATATAAGTAGTGTAGTCGATTGCTATGCTAAAAACAGTTTGGTATCAACAGTTTCGATGCCGACTTAATTCCACCTATAAATAATGTTGACGAGTGAATTGCGCAAAATCTCATTAGTAGTGGCAGTTTCAAAAACGAATTTATCTGAACAAAAGTAGCTTAGTCGATTGAAATGTCAAAAATTGCTTAATATCGGCAGTTGTAGGGCCTACTCACTTTAAATATAAGTAGTGTAGTCGATTGAAATGCCCCAGACAACTGGATATCGACAGTTTAAAGACCGATTCTATTTGTTGAATATTATTATTATTGTCGAATATGACATCAAATACAACTTAATTTCATCGAAGCATTAACTATAAAAATGTGATTTGCAATGGCCTGGCCCGACTGGAAATTCGTATCTGTCCTGTCACCCAATGACAGTTTGTCGTAGCGGTAACATGTGGCAAGTTTTGCCCGCTACACCCCCGATTTTCATTCCTTTCGGATGTTCTGGTGAGAGTGTCATTTCACTTGAGTCCAGTCGGGATTAGGATACTTTTTTGGAGGCTGGGCAAAGCGGGATTCAATGAAAAGGGACTATGAGAAAATCTAACTTCTCCGTTTTTCATCATTTTATGCAATCTAGGCTCTCTGGAACTCCTTACTTTTGATGCTCATTGCTGCTCGGTGAATGGGTGATTTCGACCAAAGTCAGGCTCCAAGGCAAGGCGACACAGCACAAGGTGGGGCTCGGACCTGTTGATGAATGAAAAACAGACTGTGCAACAAACATGATCTCAATCGTGTACCAAATCTGTAGGTTTCAGAGACCCGGTCATTTTGGCATTGGAACTTGAACCGACCAAGGCCGATGCCATTCCGGCTTCGACTTACGCCTTATTTCCACCTCCGGTGGGACTCGATCTAGAGCCTTTGGGCTCAATCTGTCCTTTCCAGCAATTTGGTTGTCTTCAAGGAGGATATCAGTCTTGCTTGAACAAGAATTAAATTGGATTTAAGGTGGCTCGGTTGCGTTTTTTGATACCACCAAATGGACAGCAAATGTCAAGCTAAACTGCAGTCTCGACTTTGCTTCACCGGCTCAAACGGGACTCTATTCCGGATCTTGACGGCGGAAATGACGAAGAATGTCGCTGAAATAGCCTCGACAAGAAAGTTCCAGTAAAGCAAATCGGCAGCATGTTTAAAGGAACCTTTCATTGCCATCTGGTGAGATGAAACTGTGCATCTTTTCACCAAACACTTTCACTTGGAATGGAAGTAGACTCAACAATTAATAAACATTTTTTATTCTTCATTCGTGTGTCTTTTCGAACATCATTAAAAGTTCACGGCGCTGGCAGTCTTTCCCTCATCTTAAATCAATTGTTAGTCAACCATCCCATACTGGTAGCTGCATAGACTACTCAAACCGAAAATAAGTAATATCGTCAATCGAGATGGAAAACGCTTGCTTCTGTCGTCGACATTGCCACACACACAAAAAAAATGTGATTTTGCCCCCGCCTGGCATGTTTTGTGTCGTTATTTAGTCGAACGCGACTCAAAGTCTCAAAGTACATTTTCTTTGTTTTGCAGAGAAATGTACCCTTTTGTCGCTTCTTCTCGTCCATTTGCGGTAACAACAGACTACCAGTTTGGCTGTTTTGACGAAAGTCAACCTGCCTCGGAGCTGGGCCGGTCGACGGAAGCCCCTCGAACTGGCAGCAAAAGACACGACCGTTCGGCCACGTGTTGCCTCCGAGACAGGCAAGTCGGCCATTCTCATGCCACCCTCAAATGCATGTCAAATCCGCCTATCGCCATGGCAACAGTCGTCCTGTCGGTGTGCACCAATGCATCGGCCACTCGTCGACACCGCATAATGTATGCAATTTTTACACATTTCCAGTTGGCGAAAAAGTCAGTTTCAGGCCTGGCAACCAGTCAAATCACAGCCCATCCATTTCGTCCTCGAGGTTGCACACGGTAACTGGCAACACAGCAACATGTCGAGGTGGGGTGGGAGGCGGCTGCTCGACCGAATGAGTCTAGCAGAGTGCCCGGATCCAACTTAATCCCCTCGCAGCCGAGCGGGTGTCGAATGCCAGTCGTCCGGCCAAAGTGAGCGTCAATCTGTATGTCTGTCTGTCTGTA